CCTAATGGCCAGGATGTCAGTGTGTCATCTTGTGGTCACAATGATTCCAACACAGATAACAGCTATAGTCCTTATTCTGGTACAAACTGGTGGTTCACTCTAAGCAGAGCCTGCAGCAGGTGGAGAACTTGTTCACTTGCTGCAACCGTTTGACTGACGGAGGCTGCAGAAGACAAAAAGGTTTACCATCGCTAGCTACAGTCCATGAAAGTGGAGTTTGGCTTGCGACCAATCTTTTATTTATTTGTGAAAAAAAAGATCTAAATTAATGGGAAACACTTCAGCTTTGATATTAATCCTTTGCCAACAGTATGTGAGGAATGTGCTCTGCGAGTACCCTCCTTGGTTAATGACATCGCACATTTTGAGTCCCCTACTTGCTGATTGATATTCGTTTTTCCCTGATCGTTTGTGTCTTTTAACAGCGTTATATTGAACTTCTATCCATTATTATTGTTGACTTTTAATCCCTTAATGTCTCATTGCTAAACAGTAAACATGTTCTGTGCCGCATTCGTAGTTTTGGTTTGAGCAAATGTAAACAAAGGAGAGGGAAACCGTTTGAAACTGAGCTTCATGTGCTGCAATGTTAAGCACTGGCAGAATGACTTTCTTTTGATCGCAGTGGGTGCCCAGAATGTCAGTCTGTTTTTGATCATTTGCAATCACAAACAAATAGAGCAAGAATGTGGATCAGACTTATTATAGATACTGACATGATCAAATGCCACCAAGTTCTCTCTTCCTCCCATCTTCTTCTCTTTCCCGTACAATCTCCCCTCTACCCCATCTCCCATCCATCACCCTGCACAGAGTGGAAACGCACACTCCCTGATGCAACCTCCTGCTCTATCTGTGCTCTGTTTACTTTGGTCTCTCTGTTTTTGCCTGAAATTCATTTTTACTTAATCATCTCTGTTTACGTCCGGGGATTCACAGATTCCCTTTTGCAACCAGTGCAGACAAAAACAAACAAAATATTTAATCTGTGGCTCAAATGAAATTCAAAAGTAGGTGCGAGCAGGGCGATCTTAAAATGTATTATACGGAGGAAAACAAATATACCTGTGCTCACCATAAACAGCAAAGCTTTTATGTACATATCATGAGTCCAAAAGACTTTGTAGAACAAGCTTTCCTGGTTACATTCTTACACTTGTTTTTTTATGGATGTCAGTGACACTTAAGGATCTTTGCTGTTCTTTAAAGAAGCTGCAAGTCACAGTGCCGCCATGTGGGATCTCATTATTCTGCAGCTGCAGGAAAAAACCTTTGAATTCAAGTGCCAAAACTTCCATCATAGTTGGGATACAATTTCATAATGTATGCATGACTTCTGTCAATTGGAGAAAAACAGAATCAATAACTAATCACAGGTGGATCGACATGCTGAATGGGAGCTGTGTAAAAAGCAACAAGTAGCATGTAATCTGTTTTTATGGTAACGTTTTTCCTGTAAGTAGGAAGAAATTAATTCTTTTTTTCTTAAACAAACTGAATTTATCAGCTTGTGTGGTTCTCACAGACGGAGCTGTTTCACATTTTCACGTCATTTTTAACTCAATGAACTGATGCATCACTTTCTTTTCCACATTATTGGCTTTCAGCATGGATTGCATCATTTTGTGTCACATTCTCCTAAAAGCCTTCTTTTATTTACAAAGTTGGATTAACCATGAAGTGATCAATTAGGGCAGACCTTCCCAAAGTGTGGGG